TAAAAGGGGGAAGATACTCCTCAGACCCCCCCCCTCCCTCACCCACTCCCACCACCCTGCTGTCATTTCAGCTGCCTTTCTCTCCTCCACCATCCTACAACAACAACTACCCCCCCATCTCAAAAGTCAAACATGTTTTTTTTTATCTTCATCCCAGGCAGTTGTCACAGGCTGAGTTAGAGTCAAAGTAAACACCTGCCTAAAACTTTTGCCCAGCTCATGGCTGTGAGTTCCCCCTCCCTCCTTCCTGGTTCCCTCCCTCCCTCCCTTCCTCCCTCCCTCCCTCCCTTCCTCCCTTACATGGCCGGGGTGAGCGCAGCCCGGAGCAGAGCCTCGGGGGAAACGAGGATGAAATCACCATCACAGTTATAAGAAGACAGGAGAGGGAGGGAGAGATGTTGGAGGGAAAGACATAGAACGAACATGTTTGTTTGTTTTTGTTAAGAACAGATGACGTCGGTGGTTTATCATTTTTCGGAGCGTGTGTCACTGAATATTCCTGTCTGTGACTCCATGAACTGGGAATCTGTGTTTCTGCAGGGGAGGGGTCCAGATGTGGAGTCTACCTCACCCACGTGCCCTCATCAGGGGCAAAACCAAATCTTTTCCTGGCAGCGACGGCTGATGACGAGGAAACATCCGAGCAGAGCCTCGGTGTCGGCCACAGAGAGTGGAGGAGGAAGGAACAACAACGAAATATATTTTATATACATATATAGACTGACAGAACTTCATTAATGCCTCAGGAGTTCCCCAGGGGAAATTAAGGAAACTCGTAATTCCCATACCGGGAGTTGAACCCGGGCCGCCTGGGTGAAAACCAGGAATCCTAACCGCTAGACCATATGGGAACACAGTATATATATATATGCACATAAATATATATTTATATGTATATATGTGTAAATATATTTATACATATATATGCATATATGTTTATATTTATATATATGTATATTTATATATATATGTATATATAGCAGGTTATACTCTATACACATATATATGCACATATATTCCCATATGGTCTAGCGGTTAGGATTCCTGGTTTTCACCCAGGCGGCCCGGGTTCAACTCCCGGTATGGGAATTATGAGTTTCCTTAAATTCCCTTGGGGAACTCCTGAGGCATTAATGAAGTTCTGTCAGTCTATGTATGTATATAAAATATATTTCGTTGTTGTTCCTTCCTCCTCCACTCTCTGTGGCCGACACCGAGGCTCTGCTCGGATGTTTCCTCGTCATCAGCCGTCGCTGCCAGGAAAAGATTTGGTTTTGCCCCTGATGAGGGCACGTGGGTGAGGTAGACTCCACATCTGGACCCCTCCCCTGCAGAAACACAGATTCCCAGTTCATGGAGTCACAGACAGGAATATTCAGTGACACACGCTCCGAAAAATGATAAACCACCGACGTCATCTGTTCTTAACAAAAACAAACAAACATGTTCGTTCTATGTCTTTCCCTCCAACATCTCTCCCTCCCTCTCCTGTGTTCTTGTCTCATAACTGTGATGGTGATTTCATCCTCCCCCCTCCCCCTCCACCTCCCCTACCCCTCCCCGCCCCCCCGACCACGCCTAGCTTCTTGGGTCTTGAGCAGCTAAACATGGAGGACTTTATATTTAGTTCTGGTCGTTTCCCCCGAGGCTCTGCTCCGGGCTGCGCTCACCCCGGCCATGTAAGGGAGGAAGGGAGGGAGGGAGGGAACCAGGAAGGACGGAGGGGGAACTCACAGCCATGAGCTGGGCAAAAGTTTTAGGCAGGTGTTTACTTTGACTCTAACTCAGCCTGTGACAACTGCCTGGGATGAAGATAAAAAAAAAACAAAAAAAAACATGTTTAACTTTTGGGATGGGGGGGTAGTTGTTGTTGTAGGATGGTGGAGGAGAGAAAGGCAGCTGAAATGACAGCAGGGTGGTGGGAGTGGGTGAGGGAGGGGGGGACTAACTGAAGGGGCCAGTAGAGAGCTCGCAGAAGAAGAAGAAAAAGAGAACAGGAAGTCACCACCGACAATCACTTCCTGTCACGACATTCGTTTAGCGTAATCTTCATCAGTTACACAGCGAACCACGTGGTCTGATAATCTCACTGTGACGTCGACATGTAATAACGTCCACAAACACGAACGCTGGTTCCCGTCCGCTCCTCTACAACGGCCGCGTTTCAGGACTTAAACTTCAGTTTTTCACAAACCTCCACTCTACTACAGCGGCGTCATTGTTTCGCAGAGATAATTTTTTTTGAGAAACAATTTTCTTGGCTCGCAGTCCATTTCCTATTAGTGACAATTAACGAAACCTACTGCCCCCTGCTGTGGAGGATTAAAGACACGGAGTGGAGGTTAGTTCAGGTCGTTTCTCTAACAGCCATGAGCTCATCTGTAATAAAAGAACGTCTGTTCATTTAAGACATTCTCCAACACAGTGGCGCTCCGTCCTCACCATAAATGTTTACAGAACTCCACACCAGTAACCAGGAAGTCGAGACCCACTTCATTATGTTCCCAAAAAAGAGAAAAACGTTCTATTTTTATGACATTATGACTACATGTACAAATATACAAATATACATACACAACAAGAAGGAGGAGAGAATATTCCAGAATAACTTCAGAGATGTTGCATAATTGAAGAATTTTCGACCACGTTTTAGAAACGGGGAAGACCAGTGTTTCAGTCTCTGTTTCCTCTGCGTTCTTAAAGTACGACGTAAATGTTTTTAGTTGGAGTCGCTCATCTCTTCAAATCAAAGTACTGCGATGGTAACCAGTACTCACTGACAGTACGTGTCAAAGGTGTTTCATGCTGGAGTTTGAAGTATTACTTATGTTTGTTTCTGTCGTCTGTAAGCCACTTGTCACTTCCTGTTTTCCCAATCGACGTGGCAACCAAGTTTGGTAATTTCACAAAAACGTAAACCTGCAGCATTTGAAGTATTACATATATTTGACCGTATCTACAGATGTGGAACACCACCTGGCTGAGTGTGGCGTTGCCCTGCAGCGGTCTGGCGAAGTAGAAGACCGCTGCTTCTACTTCGCCAGAATGTTCTGGAAACCACAAGAAATATTTATCTGGAGCCGGACACAGGTGAGGAGTGAGCGCTGAGCTGACCACAGGTCAAACAGAGGGAAACCTCGGAGAGACCACGGAGCACAAACATCCCATCATGAAACCGCTGCATATTGGTTGAAGTATTTCCTTGAAGTATTTCCTCAACCAGTGACATCACAGACCAGCGCTCTGACGCCGTCGGTGATGTCACTGAACTCCAGCCTCATTTGATCTGGGCCAGTTTTCCACGGAATCAAAAAACCTGTGAGGAGAGGAGACTTGAACTCACCCTCTGACTTGACAAAACCCAAACATTATGTTATCAGATTTTCAATACATTCTTACAGATATTACATAATTAAGCAAATATCAGTCGGCCGATATCGGACATCCTTAGCATGAGGAGTTTTGAAAAAAAAAATAACGTCTGAAAAATTTGCATTTCTGTCCAGGAAAAAGGAAATAGGTCCAGTGAGTACGACTTGAAGTACGTTTGAAGTTTTTGTTACAGTGGACACAGAGCAGCCGGTGACTCATGTTTGAATATTTCATGTAGACCTACACAAAGTCTTTGTTGGTGCCTGGCTTTGCACTGGGTGGAGGCTGTGGGGGGGAGGGGGTCGGTGTAAATGAGTGTAATATAATAAAGATAATTGTGTTGTAGCATTCCAAACGTGCCTGTGTTCATTAAACATCATTAGACCAGGGTCCATTTCCTGCAGCCAGACGTCCACGTCGGACATCTTAGGACAACGTTGACATGAAGGTTCGCTGCCGACTGACGCACTCCAGACACGGTCCTCACACGTGACTGGTCCACAGACTGAGCCTCACTGTGACCAACAGCTGGTTCCAGATGAACTAGTCCGAGAGATGAACTGAGGAGATCTGACCTTTGACCTTAACGCAGGAGCGCTGCGTTACAGCTGTCACCTGCGCCGTCCTCATGTGTGTTTTGGGTTTTTTTTTACTCAGCTAAAAATAACGTTTTACGAATGTGACAAACTGAGTATTTCAACAAATTTCTACTCACTCACGGTTTCGGCCGTAGATTAAAATCCCGGGGGGGGGGGGGGGGGGGGTGTTAGCACGCAGCCCCTCTCAGCGCTTTCATGTTCATCCAGTCCTTGGCTCCACACACCTCGCAGCAGAAACATTCACTGTGCAAATTCAATTTGTGAGGCATAACTGGTAACAGAAGGGCCCTCTGTGGCCAGCAGGGTGCAGTGTGCCAAGGTGCCGCGCTGTATGGATTCACTGGCATGTTATGAAAGCAGAAAGGAATGATGGGAGTTCGGCGGTCCAAGGGCCCTGATGCCCTGTGTTTATGATCACGCCTCCTCTACAGTCTGGTTGATGGTTCGATTCCCTGCAGCAAGTTTTCAGTCCTAGCCTCTGTGCCGCTAGGAATGTTGGGTAACAGTGATGAGGTACCGAGTGTTTGGAACATGTGCACCGGTCTTCAAACACGTTCACACTCAGCGTGAAATGAATTGATTCACAACAACACGGGGAAAAACGTCAGGAGTGAAAAACACGTGTTTGTGTCTTTACAGGAACTCACACAGTACACGGGTGTCTTTACAGTAACTCACACAGTACACGCAGTACACGCAGTACACACAGTACACACGACCATCATCACCACCATCATCATCATCATCATCATCATCATCATCATCCTCCTCCTCCTCCTGAGGACCAGGTTTTCTTTGGCTTTTCCGCCTGCACACATTCCTCGTCTTTAAAACCCAAACACTGACCTGGGTTTTTCTCATTGGTCCAGACCTGAACCTCGATTACACGCAGTCATTACGGTGATTAGCTGTCGTTAAATCTTTTACTGTAATTTTCCCCCATTTTTGGAGCATTTCCTTTTTTTTAGGCAATAAGAAAAAACAAAAACAAAACAGTCAAAGACCAACCAGAACCAGGACCAGATTGTTTTGTTTTTTTAACCCACTCTAGTCTTGATCCTGTGGCTAAGTGTTAGCGTGTCTTAGTTTGACATCACGTCGACCATCGAAGAATGTTCTCATCCCTGAAGAATGTCTTGTTAGAAACTCCGGACCATAGTTTGGACCCACATTTGTATGATTGGTTTTATCAGCCGGTGATTAGAGGAGATTACGGTGGATTACGGTGGATTATGGTGGATTACGGTAAATTACTGTAGACTGTGGTTGATTACGGTAGATTACAGCAGATACTAATGGATTATAGTAAATTAAAATACATTATGGTACTTCATAGTACATCATGGAAGATTTAGGAGTATTATGGTATATTATAATAGATTAAAATACCTTATCTATGTAGTACATTATAGTAGACTGTAATAGTTGTTAGTACATTAAAGTGGACTGTAGTATATTCTAAGTTATTACAGTACAATATCAACAATGAGTTAAACTATTAATTGTAGTACATTAAAGTACACCATAATACATAAGAGCAGATTAGATTAGATTAGAGTACATTATGGTAAATACTAGTACATTTTAGGTCATTATATCACACTACAGACTATAGAGTATATTATAGTACATTATAGTACATTGTATTACAGTACATTATAGACCTCAGTAAAAGCCTCCACAGAATGAAGGTCTTTTTTCATCTTCCGTCAAAGTTCAGGACAATATTCAAGTCACACACACATACTGGTATATGCACCAATCCCAGACAGGTCCGACGTGTCCAGGTGAACGGACACAGAGAGCAGAGCAGAGCAGAGCAGCTCTCAGGAACACCCTCCATGTTCCCAGACTTCAGCTCCCAGTGTGAAGCCGACTTCACTCAGTGAGGTTTCTCACGCCTGGGGCGAAGTTTTCCAGGCTGCAACTTTTGCAAGGTTTCTGTTGTGAAAGGCTGTGGCTGAGGTAACGGCTGCAGACTGAAGTCAGTGAACGAACACACACACACACACACGTACAGAATCTACCATATATATATATTTTTTTTTAAAAAGACGACACTTTGACTCTGATGTCAGGGAGGAGAGGAGACCCGTCCAACACTGGTGTCCTCCTAACTCCGACCGTGGGCCTGGACCACAGAACGTTCTGCAGACGAGGAGACCACACACACACACACACACACACACTGTGGTCACAGTCGTACAGACACAAAAACAAGTGTTTTATTACAAACACAGTCCAGAACACTGGCACAGACAGAGCAGCTATTGTTTCTGCCTGACAGGCTTCACTTACAGTAAACACATTCCTGTCAACCATACACACACACACACACACACAGACACACACATGTTCAGCTGTGATCAAACGTCTTCTCATTTACAACACGATGGAAACAAAAAAAAAAACAAAAACAAAAATAAACTCCTCCACACGCAGCCTCGTTACCACGCAGGGTTAAAAACCCGCTCTAACTTTCTTTCTCCCCCCCCCCACTGCCCCCTCCCCTCGTCCTCCCCCACTAATCAAACAACTCCAACACTGAGACAGCAGCAGCTGTTTCACTCACACGTCCACACGTCCACACGTCCACACGTCCACACGTCCACACGTCTTACCTGAAACACGGCCGTGGCCATCCTGGGGCAGAGAGTGTGTATGTGTGTGTGTGTGTGTGTGTGTGTGGTACGTGTTCTAGCGTCCCTCCGCACGCCTGTCTTCAGTCTCTGTTTCTGTCCTGTCCTGTTGAGGTTCTGCTGCTGTATCGTCCTCTCTCTCTCTCTCTCTCTCTCTCTCTCTCTGTGGATTCAGACGCCTGTCACTGTTACCGCGGTGTAGCGCAAAAACCCCGGCGGAGTCTTCAAGTGTGTGTGTGTGTGTGTGTGAGGTGAAAGGTCAGCGTGGTCTCTCCCTCCTCGTCACTCCGTCTCCAAAGTAACAAACAGAACGCCGTCTACGGAGTCATTCCAGCGGTGGCGCAGTGCAGCAGTGGGTGCTGAATAAGCAGACGGAGTCTGACTACAGGCTGTTGCCATTTCCCCCGTCTCTCCCTGCCCCGAGTTTCCTCCTCCCTCTTGTTCAGTCCGTTTCTTCTCCTCCCATTCGAGGGAGACACATGAGTAATGGAAGGAATAAAAAAAAAAAAAAAAAAATATTCAAGTGAGTTTCCCAGGCTGACTGGGGGGGAGGTGGGGGGGGAGCTGCAGGGAAGGACAGAGCCAGTCTTTTTCTCCGTCTCGCTGTCCCGCGCAGGCACACACACTCACACACACACACTCACACACTCACACACACTCAATGGCTCTTTACACACCAATTCTTCATCCTCTCCTTGTTATCAACTTCTCATGTTACAGGTTTAATGTGCCTCCCCTCCTGACCCCCCCTC